CAAGTTTAATACTGTCTCTGTCAACAACTGTTCTCCAAGAGTTCTTGGAGAAAACCAGAAACTAAGGTCTAAAAATTCCCAGTTTGTATAGCCGTCATTTTCCATCATTCCAAAATATACAAGCGATTCAAGCGACTAATGCAACTCTTATTTCAGACATATGAATGCATGCATCAACTATTCATGATATCTCAAAATCAGAATGACACAGTTTCTCAATTATATGAATGGAATAAAAAGTTATGAACATTGAATTGATTGAGATAAAGTTTTGAGTTCTTTTTTTGTGCTGTGCAATATATCAACAGAAACTTGTTCTTGATTTTAGGAGAACATTGAAATTCAATCAAAACCTGCATGAGAGATATGAATTGGCTTAATTTTGAGAAATATTGTGTTCAAAACTTAGTTGTATATTGCAATCTAGAGCAATCAATCAAAGATGGTATTAAAGATTAACATCATGCATGCTAAATGCTTAAAATCTCTAAATTACAGAATTTTAAACTAAAACCCAAAAATGTACAAAAATCGACAAAATTATCAAACTAATCACTTCAAAACTTCACTCACATGTTATCTATGTAAAACTGCATGTTTACAGCACTTAATTTGAAATTGAAATGTCATTTTATTTCCGCATTGTAAGCTTACCACAGCTTTTTGATAACTGTTCTGTATGTCTGTTAAATTGAAACATTTTGTGAATTTGTAGTAATTGTAATTGTGTGCTCTTGAAAATGAAGTTGATTGAAAAAGTTTGCAATTTTCTGAAGATGAACTAGAGTTGACCACAAAAAACATTAAGAGATTTTTAGATTCAAGGAAGTTTGCAACATCAGAAATATTTAGTTTAATTTGTGATTTTGGATTGTAATCAATAGTTTCATGACTTAAATGAAGTTTTGTGAACATTTTTATAAGGGTTTTGACATTCAAACCCTTCTGCACTCAATAATTCCAATTTTTTGAGTCAGTAAATACAAAACATCATTTCATGACCAATTAAAGGATTTAATAAAACCACTGATTTTAATCAATGATTAACAAACCCATTTGAATACTCGAATATGAAATAACAGGAAAATCATAATGAGATTAATATTAATTTTAACGTTTACTATTCATACAGTTACGACCACAGCTTTCATATTGAGAGAAAATTATAATTTGAATGGAGCTTATTGGAGCATGATTATCACCAATCAGCAATTATAATTCTCTCACTTATTTGCTCAATAATTGGATTATGGATGTGAAATAGCCCTTAAATATGTCAAACGCAATCATAATCTTCTTAAGATTAATAAGTGGCTCATGTAGTTCGAAGCTTATTGATTTTATATCTGATTTGAATTTCCTGAACAGCATCAACTTATTGCTATGTGCTGATGATTAATATCAATAATCATTCCACAAAATAAAATTGAAAAACTTTGCCCAACTTTTTGGCATCTTTGACGTTTGTTGAGAAAGTTCTTAAATATTTTTTTTGTGTTGATATAGGCATGCACGTGCTGAAGAAACGATTCAGCTTGGCTAATTTTATTCAATAAATGTAATTTCATTCAATAAAGTATCAAACTACAATTTAAAATTTTTCGACTATTCATAATAAATTTCCATAAAATAAATCCATAGTTTCAGGCTATAACATCCAATATTTTCAAACAATTTGATGTAGCTTGATTGCTTTTGTATTATTTTCCAAAAATTTTGTTTTCATTCAATCAGTACAAATATGATAAATTTTCCAGTCCTCGAGCGTAATTCAACCATTAACCATGAATGAAAATCTATCTACAAATTGCACCATTATGTACCTCAATACTAATGAGTACAAATAGAATCATTAATATTATTTTACTAAACGTCAAATAATGAGGAACAATAAGCTTTGGAAATAAATTAGGGGTTGTTTGAAAGTTACGTCTAACGTTAGGGTAGTTGTAGGTTTCTACAGAGGTTTGGGGGTTTAGAAATAGTATTTATGGAAATATCGCAACAAAATATCTACAAAAATAAATTATTCAAAAGACGTCATTAATAAACGACTCCCATAGACAACCACACATTTTGATTATTATTTATGCCTGTTCATTATTACAGTTTTCGGGTTGAGGCTTTTTACAAAGTGATTACAAATCAATACAAAGTTTCTCCTTCAGTGTATTTGGTAATAAATGTCATTAGTTATTTTCTGCTTTTGTTTGCTACCCGAAAACAAAAAAATAACGTAAATGAAATGATTTAATGGGAAAAGTTTTGAGACGAAAAAAAAGGTGGTATGTGTAATTATTTAATGGAAAAATGTGAGCAACAGACTTTCAGTTCATGTATTTCTATATGTGTAAATGAAAATGAACGTAAAAACTTTTTTTTATGTACTATGAAGGGAAAATAACATGGATGGAGACTTAAGATACTCTCATAGAGCAGCAAAAGATGGCCTTGAGGCAAAATGAAAATTGAAATTCCTGTAATGTAACATTAACAACATCAAAATACGCTTCCTGATCTTGTCGTCGTCTTTTTCTAATTCCTTTTCCTTGAGTCTGATGATATCTTGTTATATTATAACACCATAGAAAAAGCCCCACGGGGTCATGGATAAAAATGTTTTTCTGAATTGAATCGGAGACAATTTTTGGGGGTTGTTTGAATATTTTGTCACGTAAATGAATTTTTGTAAAATAAAAGCACAAATTAATTATGAGAGATGATTTATCATTTTCAGATTTTCAAGAGAGAGTGTGTAAACATCATTTATGTTTGACCTATCTATTGAGATCCCAGAGACTGAAAATAAAATTTATTACTAAAAAGTGTCTATGAATAGGGGATGACTAGATATTCTGGGCTGAAAAATAATTTTTACACAAATTTTAATTCCGAAATTTCGATACCTTGAATCCCCTATCAATCAGTTACGATTCTCCGTGCTACATTTACTTTAAAATGAAACGATGAAGCAGAAAAAAATTTAAAATGAGAAGAAAAAAATCAAAGAAAATTTTTCTTTCTTTATTATTATTTGTATTTCTCATAAAAGGTAGACGTAAGATGTGCTTTAAAAGTTAAAAATATATCTTTGCTTCTTATTTTCTTGTGATTCAACTCGATTGATTCCTCATTCTATTTGTTCGCATTTTGAAAAAATCTTCAAAGGTATACATTAATGGAAATTCTTCTTTTTTTCTTTGTGAAAATGGAAGAAAATGATTTTTTAATTCGCTTTTCCTACTTTTTGGAAGTTCTTTTGATATTTGTTTAAAGTTTATTTAATACTTAGAAATTGGAATGTATTTTAAATCATTTAATAAATTAAAAAAAATCAAACCTTGAGAATTCAATTCTTTAATGAGAATTTAACTCAGTTCAGGTGCCTTCACTTTAGAACTCATTCTAGGTCCAGGCATCTTCACTTTTTTAAAAATTTCAATACCAGTTCATATGACTTTACACTTGAAAATTTCAATTTGGTTAAGATAACTTCACAACAGAACTCAAAAACTTAGTTCAGCTGTCTGCACACTTTGATTCAAAAAAGTTTAGATAGCTTTCAGGTGATTTCAACACAGTTTAGGTGCCTTCATGCTAGAAATTGTGGAAAAATTCTGAATTTCTGGTTAATCTAAATCGAGCCACAATCAATTCCAACCAACAACTCCCAATATTCTCATTTTAAACATCAATAAATCCACAAATGCAAATTGGTATCGACACAAAAAGTACAAATTAATGTAAAAAATTCTAATCCATTTATAAAAAAAAATCCACAGCACCAAACCACATTTTTCATTCTGATCAATCAGTTCCACAAATATTTATCAAATTGCTACCGATTTCAATTATTATTGTTTTTAAAAAAATAATAAATTAGCATGTAAATTTTAAAAATCTAAAGCTAGGGAATTTTTTTGCTGTGTCATTTCAATTCTGATTAATAATTCACATTCACAACTGAAATAATGGCTTGGTCACAAAAACAATAAAATATTAATTTTTCAATAAAATAGAAATCATTTATCCCTAATCGCGTTATACCACAAATAGATATGCACACATATAGCAATCGATCACAAAACAAACATGAATATTTGAAAATTATCCTGAAATGTGGAAAATTAATGATAAATGCGGAATTTGTCTATGAAATAATAAATATCTGAGTGAATGCATTTGCTAGAAATATAAATGATGAATTTTGTGTAAATTATTTGCATTTATCATATCATCAGACTTTTGTTTGTGGGTGTTTTGTGCTCCCAAAAAGTGAGCATAATGCATTTTCATCAATTTCAATTTCAATTTCAACGCATTATTAATAACATGAAATATTTTTTTTTATCCTCAGAATATGTAAAAGCAATTTGTCGACTTTTCAAAATGAGAAAGCTAAAATGAATATTTGTGTCATTAGTTATGGATATAATGATAGATGTGGTGAGGTTGAACAGTCATTAGTGAGTTTTCATATATGAATTTATTGATATTTATGTGACGATAAGGAATAAATGCGCATATACATATGATGAATATGGTATTTCGTGGAATATATTGTGGAAATTGTAAGATAATATTGCTGAATATTTAGTGCTTAATTAGAAATGAATTCTGAGTATTTTATAATGCCATAAGATACAAAAGTTTACTTGAAACGTCTTTAAACCACATTAAAGGAATTAAATCCTGCATGTATTATGTTGTAGGATGTAAATTAAGCATTTCTCTTGTGTATTTAATTTATGGTGTTTTGAATAGCGTCGAGTAGGGGTGTCTTTGGTAGCTGGGGCTCAAACTTACCTAGTCTCTTCCCTGGGTGCCCTAGTCAGCTGGGCTAAAATCGTTTAAATAAAATTTCAAAAAGCTAACCATCGATTTCCACTTCAGCTTACATCTAAAAATGATTAAATCTCCTGAAAATTAAGAACCTGAAAAGCTTCCAAAATTTACCAAATAATTAAATTAATTCAAAAATAATTCATTTTATGGCATTTTTATTTAACTTTCTGAAAATGCTTCATTTTTCACTTTTAGCAAAATAAAAGAGGAAAAGTTCATAAATAAAAATTTGTTTTTCGTATAAATTAATTTTTTGTGTTCTCGTTCATAACATTCTCAGCTTTTATGCAATAAACCTAAACATGAAGTTCTATTATGTTACAAAAAAAAATTAATTAATATAGCAATAAATATCCATTTTTCTCATATCAACATTATATTAAATTTAAAACTTAAACTACAACCTCCTACTCTCGATTTTAATTTTTTTTTCTCATTGCTGCTTTTCTTTATAATTGAAAAATACAGTAAAATATTCATGATTTTTACATAAAATTTCATAATAATTGGCAAATATTTTACAATAAAAGACTATACAACTTTTTTTTGTGATATTTCAATTATTTACTGTTCAATTTTTAATTTGCTATTGAAAAGTTTTTCATTTCATAAACTTTCAATATAATTTTTGGTTTTTTTTTTGTGTGAACGGCTTTTATTCCCCTTTTTAACTACGTACCTTCGAGCAATATTAATGGACGATGATTTGTTGGCAACATTTTCTCTCCCTTAAATGCAATAGAAAGGAGGCAAGTTTAAGAGCCAACTCGAATTGATGAAGATTAGGCGATTTTGGACAGACGAGAAGTTTTAATTATTTATTCCTCATGTATTCGATTTAAACAGTGCGTTAGTGTTGTTGGCACCAGCACCATATCAAAACCTTGCGCAACTTTGAACGAGATTTTTGGTGCTTTTTGTGGCTCTCAAGACAAATTTCCCGTCCTTGCTACCTACCTACACCTAGCTCCTCCTTCGATGTACAGATTATCAGGCACTCTCAATTCAAATTTTTTTTTTTAAACATCTGGATTAAGGATCGACTTAGTCTGATCAAATCAGTCATTTCATTCAATATAATCTCATTCACAGTCAGCCATCAAAATTAATAGCCACTGGCAACTCTAGAACATTTCACCATTTACAAAATTTCAACAAACCTTAGCTTTAGCATGAGTTCTGTTTGCCATAGCAAAAAAAAGTCTCTGGAGGCAAGAAAAAAAATTTTAATCAATATTCTGACATGGTAAAATGCTTCCATTATTACATTCTCTCATACATAAAGTTGGTTCTGTGTCAAATAAGCAAGTAGCAACAGCAAAAGCTTTCATAATTGATTCAATTTATTAAAGAAAAATGCAAAGGAATGAGAATTTTTATAGCAACTAAATCAATTACGATCCTTTTTCTGTTAATACAATTGCTAAAGTAACATAGAGGAAGAGGAGAAAAAAAATGTCATTGACTGCGATGCGGCAATAATGAAAAAAGAAAAATAAAGTTGGAAGAAAGAAGAAAAGCAATAAAATTTATATGCACGCTGCATAAAACACATAAAGTTTCAATTGCAATTACTTCAATTGCGAAAAAAAAATTCTTTTCTGCATTTTCCATTTTCATTAGCACCGAGAAATTTTCATAAAAGAAAAATCAATTTTTCATGCTTTTCCTCAAAAGAGAAAACAAAACCGCGTTGTTTTCATCTCAAAAAGTCACAAAAGCACCAGCGACGGAGGAGAACAGTAAATTGTGAATGAGAACTATTTTGATATTCACATCTCGATTCCTTTATCATTCTTACTGAATTTTCTCGTTTCCTCTGCTTTTTCCTTTTGTGATTTTTCACTCTCTTATTTTAATTGCTTTTCCTTCAAATACACAACATGGAAAAAATTAACAAAAGGATTTATGATGAAATGAAAAATTACCATAAAGAGAAATGTGGAGGAAGTGCAAGGTTTATTCACTTTTGAGAAAGTTGGGGGATAAATATGAATGATGGGTGTAGTCAGAAAACTTCCTTACTAGTTGCTATTGTAGAAATGAAGAGCATCAAGATTTCAATAAATTCCTTAAACTTTTTAGGTTAGCTAAGAACATTTTAGCCTTAGGCCTCTAGTTAGGCCCATTGAATTTAAGGTAACATGACAATCTAGTTCTTCATACCAGATATTATAATAATCCAAAATAAACACTGCTAAAAACTAGTCTTATGAAAGTGTCTAGCATGAGCTTGTTCCTCTAATTCAAATTCATTCATCACTCAAAATCACACAAAAAAGAAGGAATCATCAACACAATGAAAATCCCATAATTATCGCATAAAAACCTGCAAAGTGAATAAACCTATTTCTCGCAACCATAACACAAAATTAATTTTAAATTGCTGCATACAGACGAACATTTCTCACTCATGTCATGTTCATAAACATCATTTAACGGAAGGATGTGCTTCTAAAGGAAGAATAAGCCATTGTAGTTGACTTTCAGAAAAGCCTCTGCATGTTTAGAATTGAGTGGAATAATGTCGAGATGCATACAAAAGAGAAGCTTTCGATGCTATGATTATTTACATTCAACTATATGCAATTAAAAACTGATATGTGGCAGCTATGTGTCTGCGTGTCTTGAAACTTAATTATAATTTTCGTCATGCTGGTATATGCTTATGCTCTTACTTTTTTTTGTGTCTCACTCTTTACCCCAGGAAGAGAAAATGTTGAATAAAATTGTTTCACATTGTGCCTGCTTGTGCTTGCAAAAAGTGTCACTTAAGAGTTCTTTTTTTTTATCTGTCTTGTATGTTGCAACTTATTTGGAAGATGTCGACTAGATTTTTTTTAGTTCCACTTGTATGTGAGTTTGGATGTGCTGAGAATTTTTATTTCTTATTTAAGTTTTTATGGATTTGCTTAAAGTTTCTGTCACAAAAGTTTCCTCTCTGTCTTTTCATAATTCCTGATTAGATTCATATCGGATGATATGGAATTAAATTAAGACCTAGTGATGCAAGGTTGTTGAGTGATTGGTGGGCTATCTTGTAGATTTCATGAAGGTTTGGACTTTCTTTTTGAAATTGCATTACCGAACTTTAGTTGATTTAACTATTGGATGAATTAGGGGCGAGGATCAATGTCAGACTTTAAATTTTTTTTATTTCCAAAAATCAAGTTATTGAAAGAGTCTGCAGCATCTAAAGGAACAAAAATACCCAGCCATACAATCTTCCACCCAAAACCCTTCATCACTCGGTGTTAAAATAATTAATTAAATTAAATATACTCAAATAAAACATAGACAGAACTTAAAGGTACACAAATGTAGGCAAATAATGAGTAATGAAAATAAATTTTTTAATTATTTTGATTGAATTTCTTAATCCCTAAAAAACCCTCTTGTGCTCTTTGTTCAACAAATAATCAAGACATAGCAAAAACATTTTCATTTGTTATGTAACAATTATTTCATATTTCATGTTCGAATACTGTTTGTGACATTTTTTATAAGAAGGAAGGAATGGAAAAATATGCTATGACGACAAAAACGACAATGATGGTAGTTCGAGTAGGGATGAAATATCAAGTTTTAATTTAATTAAAATGCTGTCTTAGTGGCAAGAAAATCTCTGAAATAATTCTTTATATAGGAAGAATAAGCCCGCATTTTTCAAGACAAATTTTTCATTCCCGTACTTAAAACTTTAATTCAAAGTGATTTTTCATATTATATTCATCACTTCTCCATCCACACATCCCCATAAGTCATGTCGTTTATTTTTCTCGAACAATTTAAAGTTCATAATCTCTGCTACAGAGTTGTATGAATGGATAATGAGGCAAAGGATGGAATATGACACCAGCGATGAATTAGAAATTCTCACACTTTAACTCAAGCTGTGCTTAGTTTACTGTAATTTTTCGAATCGTATCTTCATTTATATTCGTCATTTCTTATCCTCTTCAGCAGCATATCTTAGTTGATGTCTTTTACTGTAGTTTGACATTGCTTGAGGATGTTGCTAACATTTTTGATTGAAGAAAATGACGCAAGAGATAATGAAGTCAAAAGGGTATGAAGCTTGGTACGATCAGCAAATAAAAGGATGCTGTTGAGATTGTGGATGGATTATCAATTGGAATCAGGGGATATCATGATCCTCATTTGTTTAAGATGACATCCACTCCTGACCCTTGCAATACATGACATTTGCAAACTAAGGAATTCAGTGACTCATCCTTTGAGTACATAGCAGAAACATGCTATAAATTACTTTCTTTGATAATGTTTCTCCTTCAACCTCAACTGTAAATTATTGAGAGAAACTTTTGAGCGTGTCATACTTCATATCAAACCAAGAAACATTATTCAACCGAAATTGCTTCGAGCATTTAAATGTAATTTGTTTATTAAGAAATCTTCTTCATTTCTTATGAATTATGCTCTTTTTTTCTTCTAGTTCCTCACTTTTAATGTTTGTTAGCACGACTCTACAGCATCATCATCATCAATTTTATTATTATCGTCATTAACATAATTTTTCAAACTTTTTTTTTGCAACTTTTTCTTCTCTTTTTTTTGGCATGTTTTACAATATTTTAGACAATTTCTTATCAATCTGCTATTATTCATCTCTTTTTATTAGAAAAATCTTCATCATACTTAACAACATTCAATGTTGATAAAAATATAGATTATAACTGTATTAAGTATAATTAAAATTAAATAAAAGAGATTAACATACACTTAATCACACGACTGTCGTTGATATTTCCTTAAGCGACGGTACCATTCGTCACGCCATTCAATAACAATTGAACTATCGCTGATTCCGAGACTGTTTGATGGATTTTCGTCGTCGTTTCCAAGGATGAGATATGATCTGTAGGGAAAATGTCAGTTTAGTGACTTAATATACTATATATATCCCTAGAATAGCTCCTATTCTAGAGTATAGCAAGAATTTAACCCAATAAATAATTTTAAAATTTCACTTACTTTTTAACTTTAATTTTAGGACATTTGCAGTCAAGATCCCTCGAGTAGACATAAAGTGACACGTTCTGCTTCTTATTCATTGCATTTACAACGCTATCCTCAGTTTTACGGAATACTGTCTTCACTTGTAATGTAAACTTCACCGATTCAGATTTGCCTTGATCCTCCGAGGATTTCTTCGATGATGAAACAACCTCTCGAGCTATAACTTTAGCCATGATTGCTGTTTAAGAAAGGAGAACAAAAAATATAAAGGAAAAGAAACATTAAAGACCGAGGATAAAAGTGAAAGTAAATTAGGTAATTTGCTAGGGATTTACAGCAATCCATTCATCACAATTTCTACTTCCACACATTCAGTTCTGTTATTGATGGGATCAAAAATTACATTTTATCCCTACATGATCCCTAAAAGAATGAAAAATTCTTTATCGGTAATTGGAAATATTTATTTTATTTTTTTCTCAAATCGTTTCCGCTTCTTTTGTTGCAACGGACAACAATGATTGTTGAATGGATATGTGTTGTAAAAATGTGCAAAAATAAAGGATCAATTTTAAAACCTTTTTTTTGCCCGCTCAGATCAAATAGAAAATTTTATTAAGGATTTTTTGGGGTACGCATGGCATTGCAGCGCATTATTATTGAATTTTTGTAGATTATTTTGGCATGAAGTGATAAGTTTAAAGAAAAATGCAGTTTATTAAGTAATAAGATGCTGTGGATGTGGTTTCAAGCAACAGCAAGAAAAATAGAGCTATTCGATTTGAGGATATTCACGAGTTTTGGACCCAATTTCTACTCAATGTTTTATATATAATGTATATATATATATAATAATATATGTTTTCTTCTTGACTTCCCAAAAGCCTTTGTACCTGAATATTTGACTAAAGTATGAATATTAAATTCTAGAATGGATCCTTTGATAAAATAAACTCAATAGCCTTGCAAAAGCCCTCAGAAAGTCATCTAATGTCCATTAATGGACAAAGTAAACATCTTATCTTGAATCAATTCTAGCTAAAAGTAGCCAACACAAATGGGATACAAAGGTATGTAAAACAAGTGAAACATGTTGGAATAGATCAAGACAAAAAAGGTTCCTTCCATATCATATGCCGTCAGAGTTCATTTAAACATTTTTGTTCTATTCTCAACTTCCTGAATTTATATTTATTCGGACTCGTGCTTCAGCACACCAAAAAATGCGGAAAAAAAGGAGAAAGAAGAGAAAGAAAAAAAATCCATTAAAATAAATGGAATTTGAAGGTCTTTGTTGTATCGAGAACAAAACTCATGAAAATTTGTGTGTAATGCCGTTTCATTTGTTTTGGTAAACAATGGAATAAACTAGTGTAAATGGACGGAATTTGAGTTGAACACGTAGAAATTCGACACAGACTTAGTTTAGATTTTGAGTGATATGATTTGGGAGTTCATTGGTGGGGAAAGTAGATGTTATGTTGAAGCTGTAGAGAAGATGGTCTTTTTGTTTAATTAAGTGAATTTGGTAAAGTTTGGAGCTTATCATATAGGTTTTGGAACTAAATTTTAAAAACACTAATTTAAGAAGACATACAGTCAGGAATGATATGTCTGCGTCACAGCAAATTCCAATACAATTTGACATATTTCCATTATTAACTCATCAAATCAAATATCAAATCACATTAAAACCCAATCCTTAACGACACAAAACCAATAAATTAATTTAACTGTTTTTTCTTCTCACCACAAGCACCTCAGAACCTTCAAATTATGCAAAAAAAATAAGAAATAAATTTCCATTAAGTTCCCCGATTTTTTTCCCACATAACATACAGCTGCTCCGAATTGCCTGGAAGGCTATTAAAGGAAATATAACTGTTCATTAAAATCCAATAACGATCTACACATCTACAAAAAAAATGGTCTTTTACGTTGTTTCCCAACCTTTACAGCATGAAAAAGTTATATAACAAAAAAAATGAACACAATGAATTTATGAATTCATTTTTCATCACAATTTATGATGTTTTTTTCTGGCTTTTGATAGCCATAATTTTTTGAAGCTCGTTCACTTTATGATTGCTATATAAGAACAAAAAAAAAGTTTCATTTTTTATTCATAACAACGGCGACCAACATGAAAGAGCAGTTTGCAATCCTTTCCTTACCAGATGACCCCATTAGCACTCGTATATACATATTGAAGGGGATTTGATAACGATTCATATGGACAGGAGCACAGAAGAACATTAATCATATGTATATGCATACGATGCTGGTGTTTGCATAAACAGAAATTCTCGATATAAGTATAACATCATCATCGCCATCACAAGGGAGAGTTTATGGAAATTTTTCATTTTTTAGGGGATTACTTTTTATTGTGGATTAGACCAGTGAGAGCGGAAGTGGAACTTTTTGTCTGTTTGACCATTTTTGAGGGTTGTGATGTCCAATATTTGGGTTCAAGAAGTGTTTCAGCTGGAGGTTGTTCAAATCAATAAATAAAGTGACTTTTTTGGACACAAAATTGTGGTTGAAATAATTCAGACTTTAAATAATATCCTGAAAATGCACTTTAAACCTTCGTCATCCCTACAATCCCACACATTCTCGTCCAACTTCTCACAATCCCATGCATGTCATAAAATTTTATCACGAAAATGAAGAAAAATGATTCGCACACGTTTGATAATATTGCCGAGAAGAGGAAGAAAAGGACAAAGTCATAAATAAATGAATTTATGAGGACGATCATTAGTTAAAGAGTGGTTTTATGGGCGGGAATATGAAAATTAAATTTATGTCATATCTGTTATGAATTATGTTACAATTAATTTTTAATAATTTCCTTTCTTCCTTGACTTCCTTCTTTCCATAAAGTAATAAATGACTTACGAAAAAAAAGGCAGAAAGGCAAAGGAAGTTGACTTGCGTGACGGTGGTATGAGACGAGTTAATTAAATTCCCTTTCAATTATCGCCCTCTTGTTCGAGTAAAATTGCGAAAAAGGGTCGGCATGCGACTAATTTAATAGCATTAAAATCTATGGCAATTTTTTTTCTTCAATATTTTACTGTATCGGTGTGTATAGATGTATTTATACAGGCCGAAGTCATAAATGAATTATTACTTTCAATTATTCCTCTTTCCTATCCATTAGAGTGCTTCTGTTACGCGCTTTTTGAATAGAAATATAGAAGATATTGGTGCTTTCTTAACCAGAATTGATTAAACAGTGCTCGACTAGTCTTTTAAATATTAAGTTTTATTTCAACCTTAAACAAACATGGTTCTAGGCTGAGTTTTATGAGATCCTAAAGAACACTTCGAAACCCAAAAGACAATCCTATAACGTGTCACCCACAACCCCCCCCCCCCCCCCTCTTAATTTAAAGCAATAAATAATTGTAAATAATCATCCATCAAACTTACCATAGTCACGTTTGCAAAACTTATTTTGACTAAGTTTCTTCGAGTTGACTCGACACTGGCCACATTCTGTGAAAGAAGATAGAGAAAATTTTAAATTAGAGGATGTAAAGTGTCAACAGGCTTGTCATTATTCTTGTGATTTTGATGACAGCTTGATGTTTGTTATTTTCTTACGCTTCTATGCTTAATGTGATTTTTTAATACCATAGGCTTTTCAGTCGATGAATATAATGAGAGAAAAGAGTATAAGCTGTGAAAAGATAGAATAATCCTCATCGGAATTATTTTTATAGGCTTGAGTTTCAATCTGATAAAAAGTTATTGAATTTCTCAAGTTCAAGCTTTAGAATCTGATGTCTTTAAGTTGCTATGGAACTCAACTTGACTTTAAAGAATTCTAATGAATCTAATCTGAAACCCACTTCAAGAAATTTTTTGTTTCCGAAAAAGTCAGAAGTTGAAAAATTTTACAGATTCTCATTACCATAAAATCAACAAATCACGAAAATTTGTTATGAATCAAATTTGACTTCTGGTAATAAGCCATTCTTAAATTACAAATCTTAAATGTCAAGATTCTTATTTTCGTGCCTTAAAAATATTTTCAGTACCTTATTAAATATTTCCATAAAAAAATGTCAACGTGGCTTCAAAAATTCATGAGTAATGTTCGGAGTGAAGCACGTTAAATCACATATTGTTGGAAATAAATATGCCACAAATCCTTCAATAAAACGAGCATACAAATTTTAAAGCCTATTTCATTTCAGCTTCATGCTTCGTATAATTTTTCCATGGAAATTGTTCAAAATAAATTTTTTATCACAATATGAATGTGGGGATGTTCGTAAATGATGGGTATCTTAGATATAATTTTAATGACATCAACTAAAGCCTTCTCCTTTATTCCTGTTTATCATGTGCTTCACCTCAGCTTTGCTTCATCTGCCTCAAATTTCCCTCCATTCAAACTTGATAAAAAACATATTGAACATCATTTCCAAACAACCCCCCATTTTAAAAAAGGTAAATTGCACTTAACATTCCTAATACCTTTATTCTCCATTTCAGAAACAAGGTTCGTTGACCTAACAACATTATCATAACATTCATACAAAAATATAATATGAATCTCCATTTCTCAGTTCTCCAAGCCATTTTCACTTACAAAAGAAGGATATAGAAATCACAAAAGAATAGAAATGGATGATGATGATTTATCATAAAAATATTTTTTTTATTGAATGAGGAAAAAAAAGGCAGAGAAAGAGAGAAGCGAGAGGCAAAAGCAAAGAGGATGAATAGGAAAATGGACAGACGTAATCGATGAGAAAAGAAGCACATTTTGTGTGCCTCCTCTAGTCAATGAATTGTAGTGAATGAAAAGACGTAGAGAGGATTACAAGTGCCGATGGTCGGGTTTCTTCCTCCTCAGTTGGTCTATTGTGTACGCTTCCTATTGTGATGCTCAACTTTAAGTTCATCATTTTTGCATTGTTCATTTCTCTGTAATTTGCTAATATCTGTGTATTCCTGTGTGTGTGTATGAAGCACCGATGAAAGATGTTCACACTCAGTTAAATGGCTTTTAAGCTCAACATCCTTTCAATCGTTCATTTGATGATAATGGAGAGTGGCATTGTAATATTTCGTGCTAATGGATTTCACATTCTGTCGCATCACGTGAAACTCATCAATGTACGAAGGAATAAGGAGGAAAATAAGACGATGGAATTTTCTAAGAGGCACAATAAACTTGATATCGACTAGGCTTCATCAAAGCATTCTTAAAATTCCTTCACACTTTTTTATGAAAAAATTCTTTTACTGCCTTACATCAAGTTGAGGAAATATCCAAGTAATTAAGGCACTTAAAAGCAGGAAAAGGTGATGGATATTTTCCATTAAAGAATAAGCCTTATGTATATCCATCAGCATAAAAATAAATACACATAGACAACAGGACAAACAACCCATTAAGTATAAGAATGCAGTCACGCTTTATGGATGTACAGCATAAAACTCATCTCATATTCTGGAGCTGTCGCATGGATAAAAAGGTTTTTGCTTCCTTTCCCTTGCCATTAAAGAATTTTTTGATGTCTTTTCTTTCTCATCCTGTTAAATGGCTCTTCTTATTGCTTACTACCGTTGATGCTTGCTTGCTTTCTTACTTACTGTTCATCTCAGTTAAGGTGATAAAAATGAACTGTAAGTTAAATTGATTTTTGATCCCAACGAAAACTTTATATGCTGGATGTCACACAATGTGGATTTTTATGTCAAGGGAAAGTGAAGCAGAAGTGGTGTAACTTATTTGGGGCTTTGTGCTGAAGAATTGGATAATATTGTGCTTGTTTAGTGTCTCATCATTGGTATAAGACTCAATGTTGACAATATAAATTTAAGATTTAGTCAAGTTGAGGTCATCTGATGCTTGATACATCCCATTTTCTAGATTCATCCCTGAATCCAACAAACATTCATTTTATGCCGCTGATAATCACAAAACAATTTGAATGTAAAGTTACATCAGTTCATAAAATGTCATCAAGATAACTCAATATGAAGCTCAAAAAATCAAATCACACCACAAATTTCCTCGACACCCCTGAAGCAGCATTCAACGTAATATTTTTTATGTCGCGAGTGGATTTAGAAAAACGAAGAAACTTTGCCGATGCGGAAAATTAGAAATAAGGCAAAAAAAAAACGATTTACACTTAGAAAAATTGAATGATTCAGCTATGGTCGTAAAATGGCATTCTATCTATTTTCTCCTACTTTTTTCTCTCGTTCTTTCTTCTTACAAATTCTGCTGACGTATTAAATTATTAAAATTTAATGGATTGGAAAACCATTTGAAAAAATTGAAAGAGATTTTGATGTGAATGAGAATTGAAAACTTTTTCTACGATGCTTGATGGTAATCACAATAAGCTTTATAGATGGATATATCTCACGGGAACTGTAATTTTTTATGAAACAATTTTTTTCTAAATTGACTTCACTTCAACGATAATTTTGCTTCATCTCAAATTCTTCCCTTGGGAAATAATTAGATAATATCAAATTGATGTTCTTACCTTTCTGCTCGCTCGACTGATAGCGTTCATAAGTTGGATCTTCATTTGGTTGCTCGGGAGCTTCGTTCTGTGTCATCATTGCATTTATTACTCGTGGAATTTCTAAAGGAATTCCCAAAAAAAGAAAATCAATGACATAGATCTTCAAAAAATCTAATCAATTACTTACTAATGCACGGAGCGACATGTGAATGGCTTTGCTGATATCCTCGAGCACATCGATTGCATGTTAACCCGGTTACACCATCCTTGCAAGTGCATTGTCCTGATGTATGATTGCACGTCTTGCCTGATGATCCAATCGGATGACAATCACATGCTTTGGGAAGAAATGAAAAGAAGGGGAAAAATATTATAAAATATTGCAAGTCATTTCTGCATGTCTCACAACTTCCTTATTGATGTTCAAGACTTTTTCTTGCTTTTTTTATTTGATTTGCTTCCTTACTTTTAGATGGATATGGAGGATGTGTTCTTATGGCGATTTTGAAGAATTTTAGGGGATTGATGAAAATTATGGTGGTTCGAAGTTGATGCCAGCCTGAGCCAACAAAGTAAAATCTTGCTTCCTTGAACTCAATATTCTAACCGAATTTATCTCAAGGACATCAAAAAATAAAAATCATCGACAGACAAAATCAATGAAAAATTTAAAAGAAGTTCTCAAATGTATATTTCCCTCTTCCAAGATCTGATATGTTCGATTCGACAAATTCAATTTAAACATCTATTTCCATACTCCTTACAAGGAACAGAAATAAAATCATCATCTACAGATGGAAAATCATTTATGCTTCAATTTTAAATTTTTTATTTCTAGAAATATGAAAAATCATAAACGACAAACGTTGTTAAAGCCAAACCCGACATCAATACGACAACATCAGAATAGTCGAATAGCTTCACATTTAGCAAATAAAGGAGAGGAAAAAAATTGATGCCTGGAAAATTGCGATAACATTTCAATTTTCATTTTATGTTGTTTATGCGTCTTCCATCATCAACAGCACAAATGAAGAGGCTCATCAAAATTTATTCAAACAGTTTACTTTTCACTTTTAAGGGTGAGAATAAACTATTGTATTGCTGGCAATTGACAGGAAGTGGGAAGTCTTTAAAGAGGAAATTGGTGGAATAAATAATAATTATGCTGTAGAGTCGTAAAATGTTCTAGTTATGTATGATTATTATTGGGCAATAAAATTAGTAAAGTTGATAGGAAAATTGCTGCTTATTTAAATATTTATGGGCAATGAATGCTTTTTATTGAAACGTTTAGATAATAAAATAATTTTAAATGTTGGCAGGATGAATAATGAGTAAGGAATAAAGCCATATTACACATGTTCATAATGACTAAAGTTGTATGGACTATTCAAGAATGGGCACAGCTAGTTAGATTCTAAAGAGAACCACCAAAATTTTTCTAATTTGTTCCAACCTTTCTCCATCGGATTTATGATGCTAATTTTCATTCCACGTCTGCAGTCAAATCGACAAAAATTTCCAATAACAACGATTTTTTATGATCATTTCGCCAATTTTCCACACCTTAATAAATATTTCTAGAAACTTTCAAGCTACACCTGCTTTGAAAGTTTCTTCAAAATTATTAATTTTATGGAATTTATTGCTCCGTTGAGTTCTTAAACACTGTAAAAATTGAATCCATCCAAAAATTCATCTACCGCGAAAATTAATAAATTCGAGGATCCCTCAACAAGCAAAAGATTGAAAAAGTTTATGAAAATTAGTAATTTTAATAAATTACCATAGAATAACTTTTGGTTGGAGTCATAACTTTACAGGAATAAGAAATATTCAAGTATAAGTAATCTCAAATTCATTCAATAGAACAAACACAAGATGATAAAAATGAAAAGTTTAAATTTTTTAAGCCTCTTTTCCCGTTTCCTATAGCGATAGACTTTTTTTTTCATCAAGCGATTATTAAAACGACGGAATTAATTTATTTAAAAGCATTTTTTTTTTCATCCATCCGCGCACGTTTCTATAACAGCATCATAGCTAATGCTTCCTGTTAATTCCATCATCACATCGCTTATGAAAATTTAATTTCTTTTTGTTCGAATATTTTTTTTATGTGCACACTTACAGTAGTGTGTGTTTTAATAAATGGAGAAACATTTTACCAGTCAAAGGGAGTCTAAGGTAGGGAGCATGAATAATTTATTAAATCTCATCAACTGTTAATTATTCTTTGAACTTTTGTACTCCTATTCCGAGCAGTCTCTTGGGAATCTTTTGTTATATTATATATGCTAGGCAGTCAGGCAAATAGACACAGAAATTATATATCCATATGAAACGCTCAATCTTTGTGCTAGTGCTGGAATTTTGATGGGGAAATGATGAAGATGTTTGGGGAATAATTGGGGATGATTCCTTTGTGGAAATTTTATCAAATATTAAATGATTCTAGTGGTTCTGGCTGTATAATACTTAAATTTAAATCAATTAGAAAATTATTGCAACTTAGTCATGCTCAAAAACTGTTTGAATCTAACAATCTTGACAGTAATCTAATTTAAGAGTGAGAAATCGATATCCAGTTAAGAACCTTGCTGGTCGAATAGGTAAGGCGCTTGACTCAAATTTGGTATGGTAACTCTAAGGTTGTCGGTTCAAATCCAACCATTTCAAAATTTGTTCTTTTTCATAACAATTATGGTGTAGAAGTCCTAATCTTACTATGGAAGATGCATCTATCCATTGGTTAACAACTCTAACATCACTTTCATTATTGCAAAACCAATGACCATTATGAATCTAATACGAGATGGTCATACAACCTCAATCATACATTTCAAAGATTTTTAAAAAAAAAACTTAATTCTTTCCGCTCATTTCCACTACAAGACCTCCAAAATCCCTCAAAATCTGAACCATTTTACCACCAGAACATATAAACGCATTGCATCTGCTTCCCCTTATTTAGCAACAGAAAAACTTTTATTGTGTCTCGGCCCCAATGGTTAAACTTTTCTTTCTCAATTGCTGTGAATAAGGCAAACACGAAAGGGAGAAGTGAAAAAAAAATGTTTACGACAAAATAATAATTTATTCATGGACGTGTTTAGGATAATTAACAAATGTTGAAAGAGATAGAAGGGAATATTAATATTCCATAGGGTTTTTAATTTGCTTAATATTGGTCATAATAATCAGCGATGAAAAAGGGACAAAAAAGCAGAACTTTTGGATCCACTTGAGTTAAATTTAACCCAGTAAGTTTTAATTTGTAATCAAGTCATGTTTTAAATCAATTTTTAAGTGCAGCATGTAAGGAGGTGAAAGGAGCTTTGTTGAGGATCAAGATGCTGTGAAAGAGTCTTGATGTCATTCAAACTGTGACTTTATGTGAGTTTTGTTTGATAAACGCGTTTTGTTGTGAAGAGAATTTAATTAAAGATTCACAGTTGGGGTAAGTTGCAGTTTAAGATTGAAACAGTTCAACTAGTGTAGGTTCGCTGGATTTTAGAAGTCAAAAATAGATATCTAGTTTTAATAAGAATTTGAAACTATTATAAGATCTACAGTCAACAATAACTGTCGACTAAGGTCATCTCCAGCTATCAAAAACCTTCATTGAGAATCGAACCCATGAATGTTCATAGTTCTGTCACTGAACTGCTGCTCAGCCAAGTCATTACTGTTTTATTAGATAAATTGCATCCCTATCTTATTTCCAAATATTTCCATAATTTTATAAACATTACACAAACAAGGAACTGACTCATCTCATCCGACTCAATTACTAAAAAAGTTCTTTACATAATTTTATTTACATTTAAGATTTTCTACTCTAAAAAATACAGAAATTAATTCAGAATATACTGCTGAATGCAATTTATTGGATAAACTTTCAAATCCCTTCTTCCACTTGTTCCCTCTTTGCATCTCTACACATGCATGCATAGCTACCAGGAACCGAGGAAGAAAAAAATAATACACAATATTTGCACGGACAGATGCGCTGTGTTTGTAAAGTTTGTTCCTATTATTTATTCAAACGATTAAATATGCTCTTTGAGATCTTATGGCATCAGAAGAATTATTGCACGAGTCTTACAACAACTAGCTTCCTCTATCGTGTTATTTATACAAGGCAAAATAAAATAAAAAAGTTAATCCTTTAGCTTTAGTTCTTCTCTCCGTGCTCAGTCGAGTGACTCGCAGTTTGTAAAGAAAGATAAATATTTGGAATTCGAAGTAAATTTACGCTCCATTGTTTTGCAACAAAACAGAATGAGATGAGCTCATAAGGAAGGAAGACGATTTTTTCACTCGCTTTTATTTCTTTTCATTCATTTTTTTCGTCGTTATCGCGTGCTTTGAACGGATTTTTTTTTTCCTTTTCTGTTGTTTTGTTTCTTTTTGCTTATTTTATCTCGTATCTGTTAGTGGGAGTGATTTATGGGTGATGTGACATTTACAACGTGGGTTGAAGCTGCTGAAAATTCTCTTTTGGCAATGAATTTTAGGAGATTTACGTGTATTGAGTTTTGAAGATTTACGACTTTAAATGAGATTTAATTTGGAAACTTTTGGGTAAAATATTGCTTAAATTGTAGAGGTTGAACAATATGTTCTTAATAGCTTGATAAATCAGTGCTAAAATCATAGGTTTAATTCCTTAAAGAACAACTAAGGAGTCATTCACTTATGACGTCCGAAATTAACGGTCATTTTAAAAAAGAACAATGGATTTCCAGGAATTTCAATTGCTCTTTTCTTGCTGCTCCCCCGGCAAGTGAACGGCCCCTATTCATAAGTATTGTTTTTGTAGTGAACGGCCATTTTGTTTTGACTACATACAGGGAGGTTATGTCTAGAAATAAGAACAAAGAGACTTTTCCAAAAGACACAAGTCGGTTAATCGATCAGAAATCCGGAACTAAGCTTGCGTGACTCTGGCATGGTGCAGGATTAAAATCTAAGCTAGCACCATTCTAGAGTAATGCTGGCTATACGCCGGATTTTTATTCGATTAACCGACTGGCTCCATTCGGGTATCGAAGGTCAAGAGTCTTTTGGTTCAACAAAATGAGATTTAATTTCTTAATAAATTGAATTTTAAAGCAATTATGCAAATCCCATGATCCCATGTAAAGAATGACAATAAATGTCATGACAAAGAAGATTCCATTGACTTTAATAATTTGAGATTCCTTAGAAACTTAATATGCGATCCTAGTTCTGATATAATGCATCAAAATACTAATGAAGTCATTTGATATTCTTACTATAAATCTTTTGATTGGCATTTTAATATGTTCATCATATAAAACCTTACTA